CCGCTGCACGCCCCCTTCGCCCACTCCTCCGAGTTCAAGAACTCGCAGGTGAGCGGCTGCAGGCAGACGCTGCTCACCCGCCCGGCCGCGCTGGGGGTTCGACAGCCATACAGAGCTGGGCGGCGTTTGCAGTGCTATTAACGAGAGTCGAGCCTTTGCTCTGACGCTTCCTTTCCTTGCAGCATTTCAAGCCCCTGGCTGATGGGAAGAAGGGCAGGAGCCCACCATCCAACCCACCGTCACGAGCAGCAGACGCAGAAGTGTTCAGCTTCACTTGAAGCTCTGCATTAAACCCTCATCCTCTGGATCAACGCCTGCTGCTGGACGCGGGGGCTTGACCAAAGCTGCTTGTGACACAACACGCGTTGTTTCGGGAGCCTGCTTGGTTTTACGGGTCCTGTGGAGCCGTTTTGCACTCACAGAGCAGGCCTTGACTCATCACATTCACTGCAGAAGCTGCTCCTCGAGTACAAGCTACGAGTGCTGCAGTGACTGGAATAAATCCTGTGCTCAAACAGGACGCGTGGGTCTGCGCGGTGAGTTCTGAGGTCAGCTCTGGGGATCTCAAATCTCCTTTGCCCCTATCACTGAGCCCCTTTCTCTATTCTCAAACCGCTTGGCTACTGCCAAAGGGAAATGACCACACAGATGCTTGAGCTGCGCTCTTTGCTGTTGTCCCGACGCTCTCCCATCCCTGCCCTGCTGCCTCCCGCCCCGCTGAGCTCAGGTAGGGAGGACCACGAAGCTGCTCAAGCCAGGCTGGCGCTTGGCCTGAACCCCGGGAGGAATCGCGGCTCGGCGCACTCGGTACAAGCAGCTTTAATTCATCGTGGTCTATCTGTGAAGTGCACGGGTCACATAAAAACGTGCCTTGGCTAACGGCACGGCTCCTGCCACCTGCAGCGCGCAGCTTAGTGCAGCTGGGGCCGCCTGGTGCCCGCGGCTGCGCTGCTCCAGGGGCCGGTACGTACCTGGTGCTGGCAGCCCTGGCCACGGGCGCACGCCGCGTCTCACAGCCAGATCTCCTCGCTGCTGGTGCTGGGCACTTTGTAGATGCGCCCGGATGTCGGCAGCTGCACAAAACCTGCAGGACAAAAGTGGCCGGTTTGAGGTGGCCAAGGGGGATGGCGTCCCCGCATCGCGGCTTTTACAGCGCCCCCTCACCGAGCTTGCTGAGGACCAGGGGCTGCTCCAGCCCTGGCAGAGCCCTCTCCTCTTCTCCGGCAACAGCTCCTGCATCCCTGGGGGAAGCTGCAGGAAAGGACAGG